GCGAAACACCAGGAGAAAATGCCTCTAGAACATGGCCATATAGTCCCAAAAAACCTACAACAATCCAGTGATTCCGGCCATGAAAGCCTTCGACAATACATTGTCTGTAGACTCTTCGAAGATCATGTGGCCAGCATGACTGCATGGAGCGCCATTGCCTTCCTGCTAGAGCAGTACCAATTGATCTACTCACATTTGCATGTTTTCAAACTGCTAGGTTTGAAAACAGAAACTGGGGCTGACAGCGGAAGCTCACATCGTTCCCCAGATTCGAACCTGTGACCTTTCAGTCAACAAGTTTAGCAGTTTCCATATCACTAGCCCCCGTTAAACCACAAATGCCAGGATTCCATGGGATGGTGCTGCGGTGAAGACCTATAGTTTTAGAATTGTGTTGGGCCAAGAAAAATAATAGTTCAGGATATTTTCTGCATAAATCCATGTGTTGAGTTCTTTATGCTCAGAAAACAGCTTTTCCCTCAGGAAAACCAAGCTCCTGATGCAAGAAATATTATTTTCTGAGTGGAAAAATAATATTATGTCTGGGTTGTTGTAGGTTTTTTCGGGCTATATGGCCATGGTCTAGAGGCATTCTCTCCTGACGTTTCGCTTGCATCTATGGCAAGCATCCTCAGAGGTAGTGAGGTCTGTTGGAACTAGGAAAAAGGGTTTATATATATCTGTGGAATGACCAGGGTGGGACAAAGGACTCTTGTCTCCTGCAGCTAGGTGGGAATGTTTCAACTGACCACCTTGATTAGCATATAATGGCCTGACGATATTATGTCGACTCTTCTCACCAAGACACTTCTACTTGTTTGCTTCTCTTTTATAACAAATTAGCCATCCTCTGCCACACATTGCTGTGGCCCAGTCCAATGATCTGGAAAATAAAGTAATGAGAAAGTGTTGGTTTCTAATATATGTAATGTCTTGATGCTTGTGGGTAAACAGTATTTCTTGTTGTTTCTTTGTCAGTGCTGATGTGGAGAGTGTCTGGTTTGCCTACTCTGGAACATGCAAGATATCATTGTCCTTCTTTAGGGGTCCCTTTCAAATCTATGATACTATATCTGTCATATACATATGTGTGTGAATCATATATGTCTATCTATATCTATAGCTGGATGGGGCTGTTCAGAGAGATTTGATAATGTTTTCTTGCCCTGGTGAAGGGAAGTAGACTGGATGCCATTAATGCAGCATTTCTCAACCTGGGGATAAGGACCCCTGGGGGGGGGGGGCTGTGAGGGGGTGTCAGAAGGGTCACCAAAGACCACCAGAAAACACAGTATTTTCTGTTGGTCATGGGGGTTCTGTGTGGGAAGTTTGGCCCAATTCTATCATTGGTGGAGTTGTTCTTCGAATGTAGGTGAACTATAAATCTCAGCAACTACTACTCCCAAATATCAAGGTCTATTTTCCCCAAACTCCACCAGTGTTCACATTTGGGCATATTGAGTACTCGTGCCAAGTTTGGTCCAGATCCATCATTGTTTGAATCCACTTTGATTGTAGGTGAACTATAAATCCCAGTAACTACAAATCCCAAATGTCTAGAGTGTTTTCCCCAAACTCCACCGGTGTTCATATTTGGGCATATTGAGTATCTGTGCCATGTTTGGTCCTGATCCATCTTTATTTGAGTCCACAGTGCTCTCTGGATCTAGGTGAACTACAACTCCAAAAATTCTATGTCAATGCACACCAAACCCTTCCATTATTTTCTGTTGTTCATGGGAGTTCTGTGCGCCAAGTTTGGTTCAATTCCATCATTGGTGGAGTTCAAAATGCTTCTTGATTGTAGGTTAACTATAAATTCCAGCAACTACAATGGTCACTCCTTGTGTTAGCAGGTGTCTTGTGGCCAAATTTGGCAGCAATTCGTTCAGCGGATTTTGAGTTATGATGTCACTCAAAACAAACAGAGAATTTTTATATAGAGAGAGGTTTAACACTTTCCTGAATTGGTAATAAATAGTGGGAACCTCCAATGACACAATGGGTTAAATCAACAGGTCAGAAGTTCGAAGACCAATAGGTCAGAGGTTTGAATCTGGGGAGAGCGTGGATGAGCTCCCTCTGTCAGCTCCAGCTACCAGTGTGGGGACAAGAGAGAAGCTTCCTATAAGGATGGTAAAACATCCGGGCGTTCTGTGGGCAACATCCTTGTAGACAGCCAATTCTCTCACATCAGAAGCAACTTGCATTTTCTCAAGTCGCTCTTGACACACACAAAAAATCATAAATAGTAATTGATTGTTGGATTTGTGTTGTCAAAGGCTTTTTGTGAACGGAATCACTGGGTTGCTGTAAGTTTGCCTCAAAACTTGCCTCAAACAGACAAGAGTTCTTTCTCCCACCCTAGGCATCATTCCACAGATATATAAACCCCACTTGCCTAGTTTCCAACAGACCTCACAACCTCTGAGGACGCTTGCCGTAGATGTGGGCGAAACGTCAGGGAAGAATGCTTCTGGAACATGGCCGGACAGCCCAGAAAACTCACAGCAACCTGATTGTTGGATTGATTGATCCTTCACATTATGGAGACTGTTCTTTTGCAAACTTTTTCCAAGCTTGGATGAGTGACTTTTGCCGGAGTATAACTTAAATCATCATCACTGGGGGATTCTGGGAGCTGTAATCCCAAAAACAAACATTTCGAAGCCTCTGCTTTTGCCAATATTTCCGTTTACAAAAAAATATGCTTCTATATAATTCCTTAGATACTTGGTCTGATGTGAAATCACCACCAAATATCCCCCAAACACTGTTTTTGTATTTTACTTCCAAACAAACCTGGGGAAAACTCAACTTCTTCTCATTGGCTTTCCTGGCAATGAAATTATACTTCTGTCCTTTAGCGACCTCTAGTGGCCTATTCCTCTACTTGCAAGTATGTGTATACTATATTCTCAAAGTGAATGCAGGATCTCATCCTAAGAAAGGATTGTGGAAAAAGATTCCAATGAGTTGTGCTATCCTTTTGATGGCTAGGTTATGGCCATTCCCTTCACCCAAGACTCCAAAAAGAAAATTTGGCTCATGCAGACTTCTTAGAGGCAAAAAGAAGCTGAAAAGAACAGCCAGAAAGAGCATTCCTAAGAGCACATTTTAGTACCTATCAGGAGAGCATGGGAAATGAGGCCAAGGCCCTGCAATGCAGAAAAGTTGCATATAAGGTAAACAAACAGAAATATGTTATTTCTCCCACTCATCTTTCCAACTCTCATTTTTAAGGTCTTGCAAATCAACCACTACTTCCTGCGACATATAGCTGGATACATGGGATGCATCTACATTGTAGAATTAATGCAGTGTGGCATTAACTTCCCATCGCACATCGGGAGGGGGCAATGGCAGCTAGCTTGTAGAGTTTATCAACAGGTGTAGGTTTAAGACATCCTGTGATTATTCTGCATGTTTCATTCAATGCTATGTTCACCTGCTTTGCATGGGCAGACCTATGCTAAACAGGGCAGCCATACTCGGCAGTTGAGTAAGACAAGGCCAGGGCTGATGTTCTTACTAATTTTGGGTCTGCAGACAATGTGCTGCTAGTAAGTTTTCACAGGATGTTATTGCATGTAGCTACTTTGTGCTTGGTGTTCAAGCAGTGTTTCCTATATATTAGTGTTCGATCTAAGGTGACACCGAGATATTTAGGATGGAAACCATGTTCAATCTCTTGACTTTCCCAGGTGACTTTCAATTTCCTGTTGGCTTCACGGTTGCGTAGGTTGAAAGCACACACTTGTGCCTTGGCAGGATTGGCCTTTAGAACCATTAGGATCACTAGTACCAAATGGGTTATGAATCAGTTTTTGTCAATTTTAGATTCGGTTTGGTTATTTGGGGTGCAGATTCAGAAAATTGCATTGGACAGACCACATCAGCTCTAGTTTCTAATATAGAACATATGCCACCCAGTAGTTGCCATCTGCTCACCCACAGAAAACCATATTTAAGAAGCCTCAGCACTATAAGAGGGTTTCGTGAGAACAGTCACTCTCATTGATCTTCCGGAGAGGCCCTGCTCTCAGTCCCACCACTTTGGCAAGTGCATTTGGTGGGAACGAGAGACAAGGCCTTCTCTGTGATGGCCCCTTGACTATGGAACTCTATCCTGAGTGAGATTAAATCTGCCCCCTCCCTCTTGCCGTTCAGGAGGCTAGTGAAATCCTGGTTATGGAACGAAGCATTCCCAGAATAATGGCTGAGACTGGTTACAGACCAAAGTGAGTGGCCACATATGCGGAATGAGTTGAACATGATTTTACCTTGGCGATTTGGTATATATGTATTTTATCTATATGTATTTTAATCTCGTATTGTTGTATGATGCTTTAACTTGTATTAGTAGCCTTGAATCCTTGCTGTAAGCCGTAGTCCCTCTATGGAGTCCCTCTACGGAGGTGAGAAAATCGGGATATACGTTTTAAATAAATAATAATAATAATAATAAACATTGCAACGAAGTAATAATTGTGAAGCCATGGACCCTATTTTAGTTCTTGCAGACCACTGGTGGCTCGGGAACCACAGATTGGGAACCACAGCTATAGAGGGTGTCCCACAGATGTTGACCACAAAGTCATAATGGAGAACCAATACATTTTTAGCGAGACCATATTCCTTAATTTTCTGCCAACCTAGCAGTTCAAAAACATTCAAATGTGAGTAGAGCAATAGGTACTGCTCCAGTGGGAAGGCAACGGCGCTCCATGCAGTCATACTGGCCACATGAACTTGGAGGTGTTTATGGACAATGCCGAATCTTCGGCTTAGAAATGGAGATGAGCTCCAACCCCCATGTCACAGGGAAAATCTTTACCTTTACTTATATTCCACAATTAATCAAATCTACAAATGTGGAGGACCAACTGTAGCTGAATGATTAAGCCCAATCGGCAAAAGCTTCCACTCTTAGCACATTCAGATTCTAGAAACCCTTGTTTTGGAAAGCTCAGCAAGGAACACACGAAAGAGAGAAGAACCACTGGAGACAACAGGAAGAAAACTTTACTTCTCTTTCCCCTTCTCTATAAAAAGCAGAATGCAAACTAGCAACGTCACAGAGAATGGTTACTATTCTACACCAGCCTTGAAATGGCTCCCTTACATGTCCATTGCCATAAATGAGTCTAGTCCTTGGAACAATGGCCACTGGCCAGTAATAGGGAAATTGCAAGCAGTTTGGCTCTTTTAGGGGAAAGAATAAATGTCAACGCCAACCAAATGGCTGCACTCACCTGTAGTACAACCATTCTGAATATCTAACACTTTCAGGCTTTGTCCATGTTCGCCAACACATTCCTCGAGCATAAGTGTGCCAAAAAGGATGTAGCATACACTATAAGATTTCCATATGTTATGAACTGTAGTGATGGTACATGACTTAAAATCCAAACAAACACCCTCCAAACCAAGAGAGAACTGGAGGAAAAGAAGTCCAACTATACGACTAAAAATGGCATATATTTCCCCCAAAGGACAAGCATTAACATATGCAAGAGTCCCCTCTTCTTTTCATTGGTATCCTAAGATACCTCTGAAAGCTTCCATTCGTTATCAGAAAGGTAAGATTTGCTGCTTGCATCTTTGATGAATTCCTGATCGCTTTTCACAAGGGACATCATTCCCAGAAAGTCTGCCATTGCTCCGTTGCCACAAGTCTAGGATAGAAGACCCTTCATGATCCATCGAGGAGCATCCTTGTTGGTCCAGAGAAATGGTGTCCCAGCCACCTTCTGCTACACTGCTTCGCGGCCACTCAAAGGCCGGATCATCATCCGCGTGCTTTTCAGCGAATATCCCGGTCCCTGGAAGTAATGCCATCGGATCCCGTTCAGTTTCCGGATGTTGTGCCTGGCTGGGTAATAGATGCCGTTCAGATTTGAGAGGCCGCAGGCATCAAACCACCAACCTGGAGGCAGAAGGTTTAGAAGTCAGGGAGGAAGATAATCATAGAGACGGAAGAGCCACAATGGCCGTCTAGTCCAGCCCCCTTCTGCCACACAATCCAAGCCCTCCTGACAGATGGCCACCTAGCCTCTGCTTAGAAACCTTCAGAGAAAGAGACTTGATCAGATTCTGAGTCCAATATCAAACAGCTTAGTGGATGAATTTCCTCCCTCTCCTCTCCCCCACTTCTGTCTCAAGCCCAGGAAGCCATTTTAAACCAGAGTGGATGAATTCCCTCCATTTCCTCTCCCTCCACTTCTGTCTCAAGCCTGGGAAGCCGTTTTAAACCAGAGTGGATGAATTCCCTCCCTTTCCTCTTCCCCCTACTTCTGTCTCAAGCCTGGGAAGCCATTTTAAACCAGAGTGGATGAATTTCCTCCCTTTCCTCTTCCCCCTACTTCTGTCTCAAGCCTGGGAAGCCATTTTAAACCAGAGTGGATGAATTTCCTCCCTTTCCTCTTCCCCCTACTTCTGTCTCAAGCCTGGGAAGCCATTTTAAACCAGAGTGGATGAATTCCCTCCCTTTCCTCTTCCCCCTACTTCTGTCTCAAGCCTGGGAAGCCATTTTAAACCAGAGTGGATGAATTTCCTCCCTTTCCTCTCCCCCCACTTCTGTCTCAAGCCTGGGAAGCCATTTTAAACCAGAGTGGATGAATTTCCTCCCTTTCCTCTTCCCCCTACTTCTGTCTCAAGCCTGGGAAGCCATTTTAAACCAGAGTGGATGAATTTCCTCCCTTTCCTCTTCCCCCACTTCTGTCTCAAGCCTGGGAAGCCATTTTAAACCAGAGTGGATGAATTTCCTCCCTTTCCTCTTCCCCCTACTTCTGTCTCAAGCCTGGGAAGCCATTTTAAACCAGAGTGGATGAATTTCCTCCCTTTCCTCTCCCCCCACTTCTGTCTCAAGCCCGGGAAGCCATTTTAAACCAGAGTGGATGAATTCCCTCCCTTTCCTCTTCCCCCTACTTCTGTCTCAAGCCTGGGAAGCCATTTTAAACCAGAGTGGATGAATTTCCTCCCTTTCCTCTCCCCCCACTTCTGTCTCAAGCCTGGGAAGCCATTTTAAACCAGAGTGGATGAATTTCCTCCCTTTTCCCCCCGCTTCTGTCTCAAGCCTGGGAAGCCATTTTAAACCAGAGTGGATGAATTTCCTCCCTTTCCTCTTCCCCCTACTTCTGTCTCAAGCCTGGGAAGCCATTTTAAACCAGAGTGGATGAATTTCCTCCCTTTCCTCTCCCCCCACTTCTGTCTCAAGCCCGGGAAGCCATTTTAAACCAGAGTGGATGAATTTCCTCCCTTTCCTCTCCCCCCACTTCTGTCTCAAGCCTGGGAAGCCATTTTAAACCAGAGTGGATGAATTTCCTCCCTTTCCTCTCCCCCACTTCTGTCTCAAGCCTGGGAAGCTGTTTTAAACCAGAGTGGATGAATTTCCTCCCTTTTCTCTCCCCCCTCTTCTGTCTCAAACCTGGGAAGCCAGTTTTAAACCAGAGAAGGGGAATTTCCTCCCCCCCCCCCCCCCCGCTTCTGGAATAAAACAACTACTTTCAAAGTAAAGACCACCCAATGAAACAGAAAATAACACTTTCAAACCATTAAGGAAGGATTCGGAAGTCTCGGAAGTTTTGAACATTTTTTTCCTGTGAAAATCAGAATTGACTTTAGAATCAAACCACCAGCGCGCCCTACATCTGAAACGCGTTTTGAACTATTTTTTTTTATCAAACAAGCCTTGTATGTATGTATGTATGTATGTATGTATAGAAAAAACAACATGCTTTTGTTGTTGTGCAAATATCTTCAAGTCATTCCCAGCTTATGGTGACCCTATCATGGGGTTTTCCTAGCAAGATTTTTTCAGGTGGAGTTTGTTATTGCTTTTCTCTGAGGTTGAGAGAATGTGATTTTCCCAAAAAGGGGAGGGAATATATAGTAGTTACAGGCCCCACTTACACTGCCATATAAAATCCAGATTATCTGCTTTGAGCTGTATTATATGGCAGTATAGACTCATATAATCCAGTTCAATGAATATAATGTGGTGCATCCGCTTTGTCAATCTGGATTATATGGCAGCATAGAAGTGGCTGCAGTAAGCAATTGGCATTCACTGGGATTTGAAACTGCATTATATGGTCAGTGTAGACTCATATTGCAGTTTAACTCAATTGAACTGGATTATATAAGTCCATACTAACCATATAATGCAGTTCAAGGAGCCCCTGGTGGTGCAGTGGGTTAAACCCCTGTGCGGGTAGGACTGAAGACCGACAGGTCGCAGGTTCATATCCGGGGAGAGGTGGATGAGCTCCCTCTATCAGTTCCAGCTCCTCATGTGGGGACATGAGAGAAGCCTCCCACAAGGATGATAAAAACATCAAAATCATCCAGGCGTCCCCTGGGCAATGTCCTTGCAGACGGCCAATTCTCTCACACCAGAAGCAACTTGCAGTTTCTCAGGTCGCTCCTGAAAAAATGCAGTTTCAAACAGCATTATATGGCAGTGCAGATGGGCCCCAAGTCTCATGATATATCATAGCATAGTAAAATGGCATCCCTTCTATAAAATGGCAAAGTAAAGGTTGGTTAGTGCTTTCAAGCCATATATGGTGACTCCATGGGTACAAAATCCATGAATACAGAGGGCTGACTGTATAGGATTTGGCACTCTACATGGTTTCTGGCATCCACCGAAGGCCTTGGAATAAATTACCTGTGGATAAAGGAGACTACCATATAGGGCTTATATTTCCAAGCCAGTTGTTGTGTATCATGCCTGAAAACCAACTGGTAGCCCAGTGAATCCATTTCAGCAAGGGACTTATCTGCTCCCTTGCTTTGAAATAGTCAGCGCCCAAACTCATAAGCTCTGCCCTCTTCTCTCACTCCTCCTCCTCCTCTCCTCCCAGTGTTGCCAAGGTTGAGGCCATACTCACCTCCAGACAGCATCTGGGCACATTTGCACATACAGTTATCATTATCTGCATCTCGAGTGCTGAAGCCAGTGCCTTGGAGGGGCAAGCCACTCTGCTGCCCAGCCGTGCCCCGGTAGCCTTTCAAGAACAGCCTGGAGAACAAAGGCCAGAAGGAGAAGCATGAAATTCATGGAATGGGGAAATTACTTGAGTATTTTTAAAATGCATCTCTTTCTTCCCAACATGGCCCCACCATTTGGGGACAAGAAGGAGATGGTGCAAAGGACCACCCAGTTCTGCTGTTGTTTCTGGGGACACTCTTTGTGCCCTCTCTTGGCCTCCTTTCCACCAGCGAGACTGGAGCTGTCTTGGGATGAGATCTCTGGCTGACAGTTTTGGTTTGGAAAGTGAGGGAGGATGTCTTGGTGGAGTATTAGAACACCTTCCTCTGCTCTGAGGTTTGTTGAAGATCAAATTTACTTGTCCTGGATCCAACCTGGAAATTCTAACTCTGGCGAGCTGTCAGTTGACCACACGCCTTCTAACATTTTACAGCTGAAAAGTGGGATGTTTATGTGTGCCTTCAAGTTGCTTGTCAACTTAGGACAACCCTGTAAATTTAAGAGCATTTCTTTAAACAAAGAGGTGGTTTTTGTCAATTCCTTCTTCAGAAATATAACCTAGGGCACCTGGGATTCATTGGAGGTCTCTCATCCAAGTACTATCTTGGATGAGAGAGGCTTACCTGGGCTTTGCGGTTTCCCTCCACGGCAGCCATTTTCACCTCTTGGGTTGACCCTACTTAGCTTCCAGGATCTGGTTGTCAGTGTATGAACTACTATCATATTTACTTGGTTCTCCTGCTCACCTTTTTTAGCTAAATTACCTCTCCAAAATTAAGGCGCACATGAGATGGTGATTTTGAGAGTGTGTTGGAGAATTGCTGCTGTGAGTAGTGAGGTCAACTTATACATGTCTAACCTGTATATGGCTAGCCAAGATGGTTTCTCACCTGTACCGTTGCTTCTCGCCCCCAAGCTGGAACTTCTCATACGAGGCATAAGCACGATGTCCCTCCCAGTCCAGGAGATCCACCCTCAGAGAAAAGGCAGCCTGGTTGGTCAAGAGATGGACCGCCTCATTCCCCAACCAATACTCTCCTGCGGGATCCCCAAAACCCTAAGAGAGAGGGAAACACAAGCACTCAGGGAAGTATATGTGCTTATGTGCTCTGAGGACAGCTAAAACACTTCCCTGCCTTCTAAGGCTGGATTCACCTCCTGTTTTGGGTCTTCAAGTACCTGTTGACTTATGGTGTATGGTAAAGTTTCCCCTGACATTGTCTAGTCGTGTCCAACCCTGGGGGTTGGTGCATATTTTCATTTCTAAGCCAAAGAGTTGGTGTTGGCTATAGATGCCTCCAAGGTCATGTGGCCAACATGACTGCGTGGAGCACCGTAACCTTCCCGCAAAAGTGGTACCTCTTGATCTGTTCACATTTGCATGTTTTCAAACTGCTAGGTTTGCAGAAGCTGGGCCTAACAGCAGGAGCTCACCCCACTCCCCAGATTCAAACTGCCAACCTTTCGGTCAGCAAGTTCAGCAGCACAGAGTTTTAAACTGTTGCACCACTGGGGACCTTATGGTGACCCCATAAGGCCCCCTTGCCATAACGCAAGGAAGATTCAGAGGTGATTTTGCCAGTTCCTTCCTCTGAAATATAGCCTTCAGCACCAGGAATTCATTGGCAGTCTCCTGTCCTAGTATTACCCATATCTGATTGTGCTTGTTTTCCAAGATCAGACAAGATCTGGGCATTCATACCTACTCTCACATGTTGTTCTGTGCCTTCTATTGATACACAGGATGCATTCAAACTGCAGAATTAATGTGATTTGACACCACTTTCACTGCCATGGTTTCACTGCCATAATGTGACAAGTTTAAGGTAGACCCAAACCTGTTTGTACTCTTTCCAGCTCTTTTGGAAACTGATGCTGCCGTTGACTCTGTGTTGGATCACAATCCATCCGCCACCATCTGTCTCCATGTCACAATAGGTCTGTGGAAGAAGAAAAAGGAAACATCATCATAATCATCATCTCCAAAAAGTGCCAACCAGGTCTGACCTTGCTAAGCTTCCAAGATCAGAAGGAATCTGGTGCCTTTAGGAAATTTAGAATCCAGTATTAGTCCCAAATCCCTGTTTTCCTCTGTGGTACTTCTCAAAGTGGCGACATAAGCAATGATAGGGTCATTTCAATCCAAACCACTTAAAAGAATTTGGATGGAAACAACAGACCTAATTTTATGAAGCAAAGCTGACACCTCCCTTCATTAATTTATTCTTTTGCGTTCATTTACTGACCTTTTTGGGTTCAGTCATATTGTTGATATGGAGGGTGTAGACCCCACTGCGGTTCATTCCAGACTGGAGGATTTCCATGCAATCCTGAAACATTCGGATCTCTTTCTTAGGAGGAACTGGAACATGAAAGACAATCCTAAATAACCCTTTTGCTACTTCAAGGAGTGCAATTCTTCTCCTTAAGTACTTTCCCCTGAACTATAGCTCAAGAACTAAGGCTACATTGACACTGTAAGATGCTTCAGAGAGGTAATAAATACAGCTCCATGACATACAAAGATTATATATGATGTTGCCGATTGCTTTCATAGGTTGCAGCAGTACCAAAGAGAAGAACTGTTGTCATAAATTTGAGAAACTGCAAGTTGCTTCTGGTGTGAGAGAATGGGCTGGTTGCAAGGACACTGTCCAGGAGGTGCCAGGATATTTGATGTTTTACCATCCTTTTTTGAGGTTTCTCTCATGTCCCCACATGTGCAGCTGGAGCTGACAGAGGGAGCTCAATCCCCAGATTCAAACCACTGAACCAGTCCTGCCAGCACAAAGGTTTAGCCTGATTAACTCCATTTTTGCAAATAGCTGACATCTCACCTATGGCTTGTATTGTTTTGTTGTTTTGTCATTTGTGCTATGCTAGAAATGCTTAGCAACTATCTGAACCCTGGTCTTTAATGCAATATCATGTGCCCAGGGCCAGCCATTTGATGTTATGGTATTGGCTACAGTGCCAGGCTCTGAGAACATCCTAGTAAACAACAAACAATCTCACTATATATTCTGTGCAAGCCAAATATACATTAAATAAGGATCAAAATGGATGCATGATATATTGCTTGTGGACACTTTGTCTTTTTCTTTGTAGGTCTGAATTCCAGTAAAATACTGATGCCTGTAATAACTCTACCTAACTTGACCAATACTATGAGTAGATTGGACTGAAATCAGTGCTGCACTTTGGCCACAGTTATTGTTTGCTGCCTCTTTGGCCCTATCTATACTGACCATTTAATGCAGTTCAATGCTAGCTTCTAACTGTAGTAGCCATGCAATGAATTTCCACAAAAGCATGTGAAAGAACCCACTTAATGTGCACAAATGCTCTGTGGTTTGTGTCATCACCATCCTTGTCTCAAACTGGTTCCAGGAATTCCTATGTAATCATCTACACCAGCGTTTCTCAACCTGTGGTTCAGGACCCCTGGGGGTGGGGTCACAAGGGGATGTCAGAGGGGTCTCCAAAGACTATCAGAAAAGATAGTATTTTCTGTTGGTCATGGGGGTTCAGTGTGGGAAGCTTGGCCAAATTCTACTGTTGATGAGGTTCAGAATGCTCCTTGATTGTAGGTGAACTATATATCCAAAAACTACAAATCCCAAATGTCAAGGTCTATTTTCCCCAAACTCCACCAGTGTTGACATTTGGGGCATATTGAGTATCTATGCCACGTTTGGTCCTGAGCTATCATTGTTTGAGTCCACAGTGTCCTCTGAATGTAGGTGAACTACAACTCCAAAAGCAAGGTCAATGCCCACCAAACCCTTACAGTATTTGCTGTTGGTCATGGGAGTTCTGTGTGCCAAGTTTGGTTCAATTCCATCATTGGTGGAGTTCAGAATGCTCTTTGATTGTAGGTTAACAATAAATTCCAGCAACTACAACTCCCAAATGACAAAGTCAATCCCCCACTCCAACCTCACCAGGGTTCAAATTCGGAAGTATTGGGTATTTGTGCCAATTTGGTCCAGTGAATGAAAATACATCCTGCATATCAGATATTTACATTACCATTCCTAACAGTAGCAACATTATTTTTATGGAGGAGCAATGAAAATAATTTTATGGTTGGGGGTCACCATAACATGAGGAACTGTATTAAGGGGTCACAACATTAGGAAGGTTGAGAACCTCTGATCTACACAATGAAACCACTTTGTTCAATACTGGTTGGACACTGCTTTAAATGGCCAGTGTAGATGGGTTCTTTGTCTCAGTTTCAGGGCTCAGTTTCAGGGCTCATCCTAGATTTGCATCTCAACTGGGAAGATACAGTAAGGCTAAGGCTGATATTTCAGTCCTACCAATACCATCACCACTGGAGACTGCCTTTTCACCCTTAGCATCTGTGACTCTCAACAAGAGAGCTACTCCTTTCTTACTCCTTACATTGGACACCATGAGTTACTGCTATAGTTGACACCAGCCCTAGTGATGCTGCCACCTGTCATTTTCATGAACATCTTTCAAAGTCCCCAAATGAAAGAAGTCCTTCTAGAACATCATCTGAGTCTGTCTTGGACTTCTTCCTGTGACCCTAAGCTCACCTTTGCCTTGGGAGACCAGCTGGACCAAATTCTGGACAGACTCCAGGAGCTGCAACTGCTGATGATGGAGCAGGCTAGCATTGCTGTTAGCAGCATGTAAGGACATCTCCAGGCCCTCAATGGTGTCACTTTGGCGGCTCACCAGCTCCTGCAGCTGCTCTTTCTCCTTCCGGATCCCCTCCAGCTCCATCAGGTGCTTCGTCTCCATCTGCTGGACCCGTGTTTCTAAAAGGCTGAGGAACGAAAGGAGATAATCGCATGACACAGTTATAGTGCTATGATTCCACTTTAATCGCCATCCTATACAATCCTGGGATTGGTAGTATGCTGAGGCACTAGAGCTTCCAGCTGGAATGACCTCTCACAAGATTCCATAGGAGAAAGCCACATCAGTTAAAGTGGAATTAGCACTCTATGACTGTTTTTGGATATTGTCCAGGCTCAAGTCTAATTCATAAGCACTTTGCCACAGAAGTGTATGCCAGTGAAATACTGAGAGTAACTATGAGTTTTTAGGGGGTTTTTTTTCCATATCAGGAGTGACTTGAGAAACTGTAGGTCGCTTCTGGTGTGAGAGAATTGGCCATCTGAAAGGACGTTGCCAAGGGGACACCCGGATGTTTTGTTGTTTCTACAATCCTTGTGGGAGGCTTCTCTCATGTCCCTGCATGGGGAGCTAGAGCTGACAGATGGAGCTCATCCGCTATCTCCCTATTTTCAGACCTCCAACCTGTTGGTCTTCAGTCCTGCTGGCACAAGGGTTTAACCCATTGCACCACTGGGGGCTACTGAATATGAGTTCATAGAGACTTTGAAAGGGACCTATGTGACATTTATGTGCCATCAATTCATCTTTGGGAGCTTTCAGACAGTACCATAATTCAAGTGAAAGAAGTGGGACAGAAAATCATGGGACCTGACTGCAAGTCCAAACACAGAGTTATCAGTCCTGGGAAATCCTTTGGGACCTTTTTTTCCCATTCGACTCTCTGAGGTGTGCTGGACCTTACATGTGCTGATGAGGATGTGCACACAGTCAAATTTCTTATTATTGCTCCTCCCTCTATTGTAAATTCAAGTTCTGTTTAATTTTATAAACATCAGAAAAAAAGTATGGTTGCAGAGAGTTGTCAGTGTAATAGCTTTCCAATTGTACTTCCATTTAGCCACCTGTGTGTCCATGGCTCCATTTGTTTACAGCCCTGATTAGCTGTTTTGTGATTTTAAAATGCATCTATTTAGCTTAAACTTCACTTAAGCCACCCTCCCTTTTATCCTTCCACTTTTCAGGGCCTGTGTCAAAGGGCCCTGAGATGTTGTTGAGTGTGCTTTGAAATCATGTACAATGACCCTAGGTGAGCCTATCATGGGATATTCTTGGCACAAGTTGTTGAAGGGGATTTGTCATCATTGCTGTTCTTTCAGGCTTAGAGACTATGACTTGCCCAAGGTCATCTGGTAGGTTTCAATGGCTGAACAGCTATTTGAATCCTAGTCTTTAAAGTCCTCATCCAACATTCAAATCGCTAAACCATGCTGGCTCTCAGAGCAAGAAGACACAGTTAAATGTGTAAGTAAATTTCAGTGCAATGCTCTCACCCTGAGATTTTTCTTGTTTATCTCAAAAAACAGCAGCAGGTTGTAGAGCCTGAGATGATGGGTCAGGCTCTGAAATTGAATGCTATTACCACTTGCTACTTAGATGAGGTCCACAGAAGAGCCTACCTGTTTCGGTTCTGGAGTTTATGGATCTCATTCGTCTGCATCAAGAGTTGCTTCTCCAGCTTGTTTGTGGACAGAGAGTTCTCCAGAAGTTGGATCTCAATACGGGATGTTTGGTTGAGTACCTAGGTATGGCATGGAACAAAATGTAAGGTCAGAATGTAAGGAAAATAAGCTGAGCCAGGTTGAGTGTAATGTGCAAAGAAGCATGTACAGAGTGCTTGCCCATGCTAAGCTACAACCATTCGCTACATGCCAAAGAACTTCCAGGACTCAGTAGCATTAAACCATGGCAGTAAAAGTGGTGTCAAACTACATTAATTCAACAATGTAGATGCACCCTAAGATTCAATGGTTCAACATTCTGGTCCTGGAAAGTTTGAAAGCAGAGTTGGTGAAAAACTTCCACCTCTTGCAAATCCATTTGCTTTGATGTAGAAAGCTCATCTTTAGTGGCACTTTGTTTTTAATGGTCCACTTCAAGAAGAAGAATGTCTAAGGCAGAAAGATGGGACAAACAGACTGCGAAATCTCCTGAGGGGTCTGGAAAAATTAGTGATGGAACTCGATCTCACTTTTGATCTAGACTCTGGTTTCCTTCCACACAGCTGTATAAAATCCACATTGAACTGGATTATATGGCAGTGTGGACTCAGATAAACCAGTTCAAAGCAGATATTGTGAATTATCTGCCTTGATATTCTGGGTTATATGGCTGTGTGGAAGGGTCCTTGAAGGCATTTATTGTTCCTGTATGCCAAGAGGAGTGGGACTTGTGTAGTACAGTCTCTATTGCAATCTCCATCAGCCAGCAGAATTAATAGTGAGGAATGTTGGGATTTACAGTGCAACCTTTTTTGCTCTGGAACCTACTTGGGCCTCCACATCTGTGAGTTTCCTGGTCTGTTCGGCTGTTTGATTCAAAAGGTTTGTGCCGATCTCTAGCATGGTGGCCGTCTGGTTGTGCACCACATTTTGCTGGATCTGCACCATTTCTGACTTCATGTTCATCTGGATGTAGCTCTCCAGCTAAAAAGAAAATAATAATAGTAATAATAATAATAATAATAATAATAATAATAATAATAATAATAGCTGATGAAACAATTGATCATATCCTCAGCTGCTGCAAGAAAATTGCACAGACAGACTACAAACAGAGGCACAACTCTGTGGCCCAAATGATTCATTGGAACTTATGTCACAAGTACCACCTGCCAGTAGTAAAGAACTGGTGGGATCATAAACTTGCCAAGATAATGAAAAATGAACACGCAAAAATACTGTGGGACTTTCAAAGCCAGACTGACAAAGTTTTGTAACACAATACACCAGCAAGATGATTGTGGAAAAGAAAAAAAGTTTGGATTTTTGATGTCGCCATACCGGTGACAGTCGCATTGAGGAAAAACAACAGGAAAAATTCAGCCGTTATCAGGACCTCAAAATCAAACTGCAAAGGCTCTGGCATTAACCAGTCCAGGTGGTCCCAGTGGTCATCGGCACACTGGGTGCCATGCCAAAAGATCTCAGCCGGCATTTGGAAACAATAAACATTGACAAAATCACGATCTGTCAACTGCAAAAGGCCACCTGTCTTGGATCTGTGTGCATCCTTCGAAAATACATCACACAGGGAAGTGTTTGATGTGATTTTTGTGATACGAAATCCAGCATATATTTCTCATTTGTTGTGGCATACTGTGTTTTTGTGTCAGTAAAATAACTAACTAACTACTACTATTACTTTATTTTTATATCCCGCCACCATCTCCCCGAAGGGACTTGGGGCGGCTTACATGGGAACCAAGCCCAGCCAAACAGAAATTAAAATATAACGCAGTAAAATTCATCGCTGGACTCATCACTGAGCCTGGAGCCCCAGGTCTCAGCGGTGGCCGGGAAAGCTTTTCCACAATTAAAACTTGTGCGCCAGCTGCGCCCGTACCTTGGGAAGTCGGATCTGGCCACGGTGGTCCATGCTCTTGTCACATCCCGACTGGATTACTGCAACGCACTCTACGTGGGGTTGCCTTTGAAGACTGCTCGGAAACTCCAACTAGTCCAGCGGGAGGCAGCCAGATTGCTCACCGGAGCGGCATACAGGGAGCATACCACCCCCCTGTTATGCCAGCTCCACTGGCTGCCGATCCAATTCCAAGCACAATTCAAGATGCTGGTTTTGACCTACAAAACCCTATACAGTTCCGGCCCAGTGTATCTGTCCAGACGGATCTCCCTCTACACCCCACCTCGGAGTCTAAGATCTTCTGGGGAGGCCCTGCTCTCAACCCCGCCTTTATCACAAGTGAGACTGGCGGGGACGTGGAGCAGGGCCTTCTCGGTAGTGGCCCCCCACCTGTGGAACTCACTCCCCGGGGAGATCAGATCAGCGACTTCCCTTCTCTCATTCAGGAAAAAGCTGAAAACCTGGATGTGGGACCAGGCTTTTGGAAACTCTGGCAGCTAAAAAGAAAGACCATAATGATGGGCAAATAATGACGAAACCTATTGGACCTATGGAACTCGAAACACTGACCATGAGACTGTTGATTGTTGTGCTATTGTGTTATATATTGATGTTTTTAATCTGTTAATTGTTTAATTATGGTAATCGTTTTATATATGTATGTATTTGGCTAAGGGCATTGAATTGTGCCTTCTTTTTGTAAGCCGCCCTGAGTCCCCCCTCGGGGGTGAGAAGGGCGGGGTATAAGTAGCAGAAATAAATAATAAATAAATAAATACAAAACGTCATAAAAACATAAACATCAACCATCAAAGCACCCAATAGTCTAACCTATACTGAGCTGAGCTTGTGCAAACCCACTGCAAGGACAGAGCTGATAGAAAAGTGGAGGAGCCAGATGTTATGTATGGGCCAACCAATATGAAGGGACTATATGAAGTCCCCACAGCTCCAAGTTCTAGCTTGGTGTCCAACCAGTTCATTCCAGAACAAGAAACATTCCCTCAAATGTCATAGAATCATAGATTTGGAAGAGACCCCAAAAGACTGGGTTGTTGTAGGTTTTTCGGGCTGTATGGCCATGTTCTAGAAGCATTCTCTCCTGACGTTTTGCTTGC